AATTTGACAATGAACAAAAGATTAGCTTGGAAAGGGACAAAAATTTATGCACTCAATACTCTAAGACTAATGGCACTGAAACGAAGCCATGACTCGTGGTTGGGGGGGCACTTTGGGTTCTTAAAAACCCTGCATTTAGTCAGGAGACAGTTCTGGTGGCCAAAAATGAAACCTTATGTCGAGGACTATGTGAAAAGCTGCTCAATTTGTGCCACAATGAAACGCTGAACTGGAAAAACCCCTGGCTTCCTTCAACAAGTAGCTGAACCAACGAAGCCGTGGGAAGAAATCGCGATTGACTTTATCGTAGAGTTACCTGAGAGTGGAGGAAATGCCCTGATTTGGACTGTTATCAACTTATTCTCTAAGCAAGAAGCCTGTAATGGACTACCTTCGGCTAAGAAACTTGCGAAACTGTTCGTGAAGCATATAGGCTCTACGGAGTACCTCATAAAGTAATCTCAGACCGAGGTGTGCAGTTTACTGCTAAGTTCTGGAGGGAGTTTTTGAAGTCCATTGGGTCGTCCCAAGGGCTTTCCTCAGTATTTCATCCTGTGTGCAACGGGGCAGCAGAGAGGGTAAATGCCAGGGTGATTAGATGCTATGTAAATTATTAATAGGAGAACTGGGAGGAGCTGTTGCCATTTGCAGAAGTTGCTTACAATAATGCAGTACACTGCAGCACAGGCTTCGTTCTAAATCAACACCGGCATGGAATTTGTCCCTATGCCGGAATTACCTATGGAACCCCCAACATCCATGTCTTTAACGGAATGGATTGACTCATTAAAGAAAGGCTGGGAGGATACAAAAAAAGCTTTGACTGAAGCTGCTGAGGAATGTAAAACACAAGCAGACAAACGTAGATCCCTCCAACCACCATTTAAAGTAGGGGACAAAGTGTTTTTGTGAACTAAATATCTCAAGTTGAGACTTCCCAGTAGGTCCATTCCCTATATCTAAAATAATCAATTCAGTGACAGTCCAATTAAGTCTCCCTCAGCTGTTGGGGAAAATACACCCAGTGTTCCATAGTAATTTATTGAAATCTGCTGTAGGGTCAACTCTAAGGCCGATACCAGCAGCTCCCCCCCCCCCCAAACCTTTAATCGTACAGGGTGAGACACATTATGAAATAAAGAAAATCCTCGATTCTAGATTACACCGAGGGAGATTACAATATTTGGTGTTATGGAAAGGTTACCCTTTGTCAGATGCCACTTGGGTAAAAAGTTGGGATGTACATGAGGATAGATTGGTTAACCAATTCCATGACGAATTCCTGGACAAACCGAAGGGTCCCCTTGGAGGGGGGAGAGGGGGTTAAGGGCATCACATTAACCCCTGGTTGTGTTTAGTTTACTATCTCTTTCAGGAGGTGATTTTCTCAAGGGCCTGTCAGCTTTGGAAGCCATATTCCATGCTGCCACAAGCTTGAGAAAGTGGGAGGGGGGTGGATTCAATTGAGTAGTTCTAAGTAGACAAAATAAAATTGTTTTGTTCGTTCAAGGTCATTGAGGATGAAATAAGAATATTACTTTTGGATGAATTGTGATTGGGCCATGTGATGTGATGACGGATTTGTAGTTTAGGAAATTGTGTGAAGCCTGAAAACTTTCAGATTCAGGGTTCCACAGATTTGTCAGTCGCTATTCTAATAAAGGTACTTTTGAGATATGGTTGTCTCGGAGTTACTGATTGAAATGCAGGTTTGCTGGAACGCTGACAATAACATTGTTACAGGGCTGAAAGACCTTGAAAGTTATAAGGGATAAGAGAAACAAAGTAAAATGCAAATAACATCTAGAAGGCCATCTTGCTTTTTTTTTCTTTTCTTACTTGTCTTTATCTGGCAGTTTAGGTTTAGCTGGTGAGCCTTTTGAAACTCTCTTCAAAGCAACGTGGACTAGAAATGACAGAAATTGCCTTTGAAATTAATACCTGAATTGAGGAATTAATGAGCTATGGAGAAACTTGGTGTGCCACTTTGGATCACAAATATTACTTGATGGAATATTTTACAAGGTGAAAGAAGAAATTACATAGAACCTACAAATTTGAAAAATTTAGAAGGAGCAAAACAGTAGACTTTGAGTAATATAAATACTGTGGACTGAACAAATTTTTTAATACTGACTTTCTGACATTTTTGAACACTTGGGTGAATTACTGAATAATTTTCAGCACACTAAAATAAAGTAAAATAATGCAACAAGGGAGTATTCCAAACGGAAATACTAGTAATGTTTCAAGATATTAAGGAAACTATGACAAAGAACCATAGGGAGATAATGGAATTGATGCGCGATACGGATTGGAGACCAGGAAATTGCCAGCAAAAGATAATGGAAAATGAACAAAAATTCAAATAACAGAGGAGAATTCAGAAGGAGTGGAAGAAAGATGGGAGGAGAGTCCAGTTAACGATACAAGTATATAAGGATACAAAAGAGATAGTAAGACTGGACCAGAGAGATTACTCTTTAACAGGCCAAAATGAAGCAGAGAGCAAAGAGAAAGATCCACTAGCAGAGACGAAAGGGATACAGATAGGTACGGGAAGCAGAGGCAGAGGTGGAGAAGACATTTAGTGTAAACAGAAGTGACACAGAGGGATACAAGGTTCCAAGAGAGGGGCAAGGGAGACTGATAAAAAAAAAAATCAATGAGTTCTAATATCAAAAAGGACAAGAGATGATGTATAAATATAGAATAAATTTTGATATAGGATCTGTTTTATTAAAGCCCAGGAAATAGAGCTAGAAATTAAAAACTGGGAAAAGGTTATTATATTTATTTTCATATGATGGAAGTTATTATAGTTACTATGTACAAGTAAGTATTAGAAGTTAAGATTATTATGTATGCTTAAAAAGTAAAAAATGAGATAATGGCTTGCTAAGATAGAGAAGCAAATTCTACTATTATGTGATCACCTTCAATATTATGATTATTATTGACTTCTGGTTTGAGCTTCTTCGGCGATAGACTGAAATCTGCGATCGTGCAGTTTTGATCCGTGCTCACCCCCGGAACACCCCAAGTTGGCTGGATTCAGGGCAAAAGCCACTCCATAGAGGTGCTAAAGAGGGGGGAGACCACCAGCAGGGTTGAGGAGAGCCGCATCTCTCCTCCTCAGCTGGCCATTACTCCCTTTCCCAAAAGCGGTTGCAGCGGTGGTCAGAAATGGCTACCTCAAAGAAGAACTTGACCAGAAAAGATGTGCAGGAGGAAGATAAGATAAAGTTTTGATTGACCAGGTTGAACTGAAAAAGCAACAATATAAGGTACCCTGGAATTTGAACTATAAAGAATAACTGTTCCCAAAGAAGATTTTTGAAGCGGCGAAGGAGAGAGGGAAGGGGAAAGATTTGGGTTTTTTTTCCCTTTCCTTCTCCATATTGACAGCTAAGAGACTTAAGCAAGAAATTAATAAAAAATTCACTTTGACATTAATAGGCATCTAAGCTGAAAATAAAATGTCAAAGTGATAATAAAGATTTTTGGACATTTAAAAAATTTTTAAAGGAGAGAAAAGGAATAAATAAAAGGGTGGGATCTGGAAAAATGGAGACCACCTGGAAGTAAAAGGAATTAACAGTGAAACTTTAATAAGATTCCTAAAAGATAGAACCCCAAGAAGAGAAAGTGGAAAAAAGAAGCAAAAAGAAACAGCTTTGGATTATTTTGATTATTTGGTGACTTTTGGATTTTTGGTTATTGGACTTAAATGACTAAAATCAATCAGGTGGTTGTTTAAAAGTGTTTAAAATGGCATCACTCTTGGAAGAACTGAAAATGGAACTTAAAAAACAGAAAGAAGATGCACAAGAAGGAAGAGGCTTTTTTGGCTTCCTATTTCAATTCTTAGAAATGGAGGTCTTGAACTATGAGAAACAACAAGAAATGTGTCTAGAACAAGAAGGGCAGGACAAAGAAGAAGCCATCTTAAATGACCAAGTAATTCTAGGGGGTGGGGGGAGGAAAGTGGGGAAAGAGAGTAAAAAATTTAAGATTTGAAAAAACAACCAAAAAAAGAGAACAGTTTGAAAAGCAATTACAATATTAGGAAGAAACAGAAGAGTGGATTACAGAAGAGAGAATTAGAATTAGAGAGACAAGGGGTAAAAAGGGGAGGGAGAAGAAGAGGGGGAAGAAAGAAAGGAAAGGAAGTTATAAAGGACAGAAACAGGATATAGAGAAACAGGGAAAACGTACAGGGATTAAAGGTATAAGCCTATTTCAGTTCATTAAGTTAATAAATGTATTAATTATATATTTTCTTTTAATTTTTCATTTACTTAGTTTAATCCATCAAAATCTATGTACTCTTCCTTATTCAAAAGTTATGAGGATTTAATTCTTTAAGCAAAGAGAAAACTTCTGAAATTGTCTTTATGGTTACCTCTTTAGCATTGGTGAGATTCAAATTTTTTACCGGTTCTGTGGGCGTGGCTGGGGAAGGATACTGTAAAATCTCCAGTCAGAAATGGTATTTTCCGGTTCTCTGAGCTACTCAAAATTGCTGTCACCAGAACTGGTCAGAACCTGCTAAATACCACCTCTGCTCTTTAGTATCCGTAAAGGCTTCCAAGGTGAATGGGATTTCCCATATGCATCTTATATAGTTCTTAATGTTTCTCAAATATGCCAATGATCCACATTTTGGTTCATTCCAATAAAATTATGAGTGTAGTGAATTTATATGTAATAAAAACCATAAAATTCTTACCAAAGAAGGTTAAAAAAATATCTCACACTTAAGCCACCAACCACCCCCAGGGTTTTGTACCACTCCTGCATGGATCCCCGTGCAACTCGACAGGCCAGGTCTTCACACCCATCCAGAAAGCCAGAAGAGTGGGCACCAAGATGTTCCATAGGGTAGAGATATATATTTATTTGGCTACGCTTTTTTATTTCCAATACAAGGTTTTACAATACTTTTTTCTTTTCTTTGTATAGTTTCATGCTCTCTTTTGTGATGCTTGGATTTGCAGGGCCAAGAAGATTCAAGCAGAGGATCTGATAATTCTAGTTATGATGAAACACTCTCCCCCACATCACCAGGACCTCTTTCAGTGAGATCTAGTCATGGAGAGCGAGAGCTTGTCAATTCCAGCATGACTCAGCCCATTTCTGACTTGCATGGTATCAATCCAGTTTTCCTGTCCAGCAATCCTAGCCGCTGGAGTGTGGAGGAAGTATATGAGTTCATTGCATCCTTACAAGGCAAGTCTGATATATTTTCTCCCATGTCCTGAAGAGGAGTGCGATAAATGGTTGTATATTGGACACCTAAATATTGGCATGAATAAGGTATTGATAGATTTGAAATAGTAACTGTATTTGACATGACATTCTCCTATATTGTGAGAAAAACTGGATTTCTTGCTTTGGTGCTGCCTCTTTCTCAGGTTCAGCATGACATTTAGCAAATTCCTAACTTCTCCCTCTCCCTCCTAAAAATGTTGGAGCTGGACAAAGAGAAGTGTTAGAGGAAGCAGTTCACAAAAGGAGCCTTCCTTCCACGCAACTGTTATTGTTGGAGATATCATTTTCTTAGATAGATCTAACAGATATACTATTTGCCTATATCCGGGAACTCTGAAAGGGGATATTATTTATCCTTCTATCCTTTATTATTTTATACATATCTCAAGGTAGTAAACAGACTTAATAATATGTTTTAATATTACAAAATGTTTTTATCTCATTAAATTCTAGTTTTTTCAGTGATAGTGACAGCAGCATTATCTATGCTTCTCATCTCTGTATGGAAATAATATGGGAACTTTGCAGGGGTGTTAAGATAATCAATCATAATAAAGCTGAAAAGGGCCTTGGAGGTCTTTTAGCCTAATCCCCTGCTCAAGGAGACTGTATACCATTTCAGACAGATGGCTGTCTAGTTTTTTCTTAATAACCTCCAGTGATGAAGCACCAATAAATTTGTGAAGGCAAGCTGTTCCATTGGTTAATTGTCCTCACTGTTAGTTTCTTCTTAATTCCAGGTTGCTTCTCTTCTTGATTAGTTCCCATAGTTTCTTGTCTTGCCTTCTGGTGCTTTAGAAAAGAAGTTGATTCTCTCGTTTGTGACAGCCCCTCAAATACTGGAATACTGCTATCATGTCACCCCTAGTCCTTCTTTTCTCTAGACTAGCCAAACCTAAACCCTGCAGCTGTTTGTGTTTTTGTCTTCAGTCCCTTAATCATCTTAGTTGCTCTTCTTTGCACTTTTCCAAAGTCTCAACATCTTTTTTGTAACGCACTATTTCATGTGTGATCTTACTAAGGATTTATAAAGCAATACTACTGTAATATTTCATGTGATTTGGATTCTTTGCCTCCATTTACACAACCCATGATTGTATTAGCTTTTTTGGCTGCAGCCACACACTGCTGACTCATGTTTAAGTGATCGTCCATTAGGGCTCCAAGGTCCCTCTCACAGTTACTGTTTTTGAGCCAGGTTTAGATAGTGTAAGATACATGAGTCACAGCAAGTAGAAGCACCTAGTGTGGTGCTAACATCTGTAAAGTTAAATCAAGTCTGAACTGGATGGGAGAGTAATAAATTCCAGGTTGATAGATTGAGAAGTAAAAAAGGAAGCACACACATACCCTCCCAGAAGGCATCAATGGCAAACTATTTCCTCAATATTGCCACTATTATATTGAAGAAATCAAGCTTGACTCAAGTCATTTTAAATTGTGTTTGAGCATAAAACTGATTCTTACAAATATTGAGTTAATCTATAAACAATATTAAATATGTATATTGTTTCTATTTCTCACAAAATTCTCTCTCATACTTGAATCTATTAGGCTGCCAGGAGATTGCAGAGGAATTTCGGTCCCAGGAGATAGATGGCCAGGCCTTGCTTCTGCTAAAAGAAGAACATCTCATGAGTGCCATGAATATCAAATTGGGTCCAGCTCTCAAAATCTGTGCCAAAATCAACATTCTTAAAGAGACCTAACATGGAATGCAGATTTTTTTCCCCTAGCTGTAATGAATACACTAAATGGAAGAAAAGAATTCTTTTACAAGCCTATGTCATGGTGATACTTGGGGAGGAATAGTCCCTTGGAGGCCTTGAAACATCTTGTCAAAAGCATAGAATATCTTCTGTTGTGCTATGAATTCTTTCTGAGGGAAAAAGGGAAAAAACAGTTCTGTGCTGCAGCTGCTGTGAATCCTTCCTGTCAAGTTGCTGGATTCTCATATTTTTCTCCCAGTAGAATTGTTCTTTCCACATGGTTTCAATTTTCAGGGGACCAATTGGTATTGAATCTTTTCTCTTGCTAAAGGCTTCTGTTTGGAACAGTAAAGAAATGTTTTAAATGGCATCTTTTCTAATTGAAGTGTTGACTGAAGGTAAGTAGTAAATTGATTTCATATAGAATACAGGAGTGAACGTTAATTGAACATTAAAGACTAGAGTTGGCCCAGGTTTAATGGGACTATCCAGAAAACATTACATCTGATAATAACATCAGAGGGTTTAAAGATTTTTAATTTCACTTGTCTCTTGTGGGATTTGGAGAAAAATTACTCAAGAGCCAAAGGAGAATCCAACTCTATTGAAGCTCCAGATGTTTCATCCTGCTTTTTTAAAAAAAAATGTCTTCTTTGGTTTTTGTATCTTACCCTTTCCCTTATGAGAGATCATATGGGACAAACTTTCTGCTATCGGGTTTGTATCTTCTGTCCAAAGTCTGTTTATTTTTGTTTATTAAGCAAATTATTCAGTAAAAGGAATGCTTCATAAACAATATTGCAATCTTCCTGTTGTCTGATTTTTCTCACCAACTTTTGCACAATCAGGTTTGCAGCTTGTTTTGAATTCTCACAAGCTTTGTTATTGGTCCCTGAATTTAAATTTTAGAAATGATTTTCTGATCTATTAGTAAAAGTAAAATGTATATCCATACAAAATCTTTAAAATATCTTTTAACATAGATTCCTGTTCTGGAATCTACATATCTTTAAGTGAACTTTTATTCTAACAATTTAGAATAATATTTAATTTCATTGTTCTGCCAATATATTTGAAACAAATTTGTAAAGCTGTATGTTTAATTTGAATAATTATTTCAAAATGTAAATCTCTTAAGAATAGACAAGGCAGCCTAATATGAATTTAACAGAAAAACTTGGAAAATTTTATTTTCTACTAGAAATGTTGGCATCCTATAAAATGCAAAGCTCACCTTGTACTAGAAGAGTTTACAGTGCCAGCATTGAAAGGTTTTCTTTCTTGAAGTGCAGTTCTATCAGTAAGCTGTTTTTCTATATTCATGTCTAGTATGATCCAAATTATTTCAGCTTTCAACAAATGAAAGAATTATATATTTGTCAGCTTCAGCTTCTAGACTTAGCCCATATTTATCATTAGAGTTGTTCCAGCCCTATTTCCTACCAGTTATTCCAGCCCTATTTCCTCTTTTCATTTGATTTATGCCTGTAAAATGTGTAAATGTCTCCCAAAGGTTAACACAAAACTACATTGAGATCAGGACTTTGTTTTCAACTAAAATGTCTTTAAGCTGTAATTCACAAACTGTTTGGAAACATTTAAGCATACACATATTGTGAAATTTCAAGTCATTTTTAATGTTAAAAGTTGCATCTCTTTAATACAAAATATTTTCAACTTTACTATGAAAAAAATGACATAACCCATTTCTTTTCTCTTATAAAAGAGCCTGGCAAAGAGGGCTATACTATGTCTCAAATCTTATCTCAGCTACAGCACCTCTTCGTAAAAGGAGTAAGAATAGATACAGCCTATAGATATACTTGGAGTTTTACTTCCAAGTAGATCCACCAATTCCACTAAGAAGAGACCAAGTAAAGATGTAAATATTTCCCCTCACTTTCCCAAAAGCTAATATTCCTAGCAAGTTCAAGTGAATTCAGGAGTCCTTAATTGCATTTTATATGCAATTTTGAGAATTTGCATTAGGAAACAGTACAACATGCACCAAAGAAAAGGAAGCACATCCCTGAAGCAAATAGACCTGTCATGCTCTATCCTTTTTTTAAAAAAAGCATATGTAGGAACAGATCAGATTTGACACTATTCATACTTAAAAGCAGAAATATAAGCATTAACATTCACCAGTTTTAAAAAATATTTAGTCCAAACACTAAAATAGTTTGAACAGAATCAGAAAAACATTGTCCACACAGATTTTGAGGTTTTCTACCCTGTCTTTTTTGGTTAAAACTTTTCATTGTTGGACTCTGTGTTTTATATAATTTGCAACAGCTGCCACTGTCCTATTTGTAATGAAAGATGAAAGACCAGCTTTTAAACAGAATGCGTTTAAAACAGCAGTATTAGTTATTATTAAAGTCTGCTCTTTTATATCTGTTTTAAAATATTGCCATTTAAATTTAGATCATTTTAACATGTTGCTGATAGCATCTTTTCTGGCTAACATTCCCCCCTCCCCTTAACGAACTATTCTCCTTTGTGAACAAAATATATATTTCCATTTGGTCTACTATGTCTCCACAGATCTGAAAAAGCACGGACAGGCTTCACTGAGTTATTAAAAAAAATTATAACTGCATAACTGAAAATCAGAAATCAGTGTTTTTTAAGAATAAAGCCTGTAGGAAATATGCAAGTACATTTAGTCACTGTAGCTCAAATCTATTAGCATTACTTCAAACCCTTTCCTCTTCCATTGATTATTTCTTTTCTGTGTATAGTCAAACTGTCCCTTTTGGAAAATGGTTCTGAGTAGTCAGTCCAAAGCTCCTTAGTACAGCTTTATGTTCATAAAACTTGCACAGAATTTATTTATATCACAAATATGAAAAATAGTGTGCAGAATAATAGGTATTTAAAGTGAAAGCAAGTGGCTTACAAGGGTAATTAGATGGGAAAACTGACTGGATGTCATTTGTTTAAGAACTATACACAAATAAAAGGTAAAGATCACATGGGCAGCAAGTGGTCATCTTGCTCTTCTGATTCCTCTCTAAGCTGGTCATCACCAACACCACGATATGCAGCTGGTACATTCTGTGGTCTAGAACGACACATGAAATCACAGCCATCCTGCAAACACATTAAGTAAAATAAGATCAAAAAATAGTAATATCAAACCTGCAACTGAAAAAAAAAAGTTTTATTTCTCCAATTACTTTGCTCTGATTTTGTTTTTTAATATGGAGTGAACAAGAGCGCAATCCTAGCATGACAAAAATGCCGGACTATCTTACTAAATTGGGCATTAGTGATGTGTCAATGATTTATAGCAGAAACTTTAGAAATTGATTAAAAAAACACTTCATGGATATATTTCTCTCTCAAAACTCATTATGATTAGTCTACTTTCCCCAGTTGCCAGTTCCTGAGCAAAAAACAATGTTAAACCAAAATGTAATTAGTTTGGTTTTGGTACTTGTTAATGATTGGGTAGGGGCACCAAAACCCCCAATAAATTGATGGTCTATTATTTCACAATACTACAAGGATCTAGGTTTAATTATTTATTCTATAAGGCATGGAACCAGATAATTCCAATGTCAAAGTAGAGCTTTGAGCATTGAGATCACTTACATTCAAAAGTATAGAGAAGAGCAACAAAGATGCTAACAAGTCTGGAGACTAACCATAGGATGAACAATTGAGAGAATTAGACATCTCTAGTCTAACAAAGAGAAGGTTATGATAACAGTCCTCTGGTACATGAGAAGCTGTCACAGAGAAGAGAGGATCTTATTCTCCAAAGGTCCTGAGGGCAGAACAAGAAGTAATGGATGAAAGCTCATTAGAGATCCAACCTAGAACTAAGAAGAAACTCCCTAACAGAACAATTAATCAGTGGAACTCCAGAAATTGTGGACGTGCCATCACTTTCTTTTTTTTTAAAAAAAAAATTAATTCTAGAAAAAAACATTTGACATACATTTAAAACAGACAAATACATATACATATACATATACATATACACATACACATACATATATATATATATATATATATATATATATATATGTCATTCATATTCTTAAGTTTTTGCGGGTACTTACATGTATGGCATTCAGCTTTGTTCGGGTATTTTCCCACGTCATTCTAGTTGTGCTTTAAAAGTTGTAGCAATATTTTGGCAGATTCTGCCGAAACGTTGCTACAACTTTAAAAGCACAACTACAATGACATGGGAAAATACCCGAACAAAGCTGAATGCCATACATGTAAGTACCTGC